ACATTAGGCCTAAAAAAGTGTGACTAAGCCACAGAATGGTGTCTTTAATTGTAATTGTTTAATTGTTCCTATGTGCATTTTATGTCATAAGTAGCATTGGGTTCTTGCCTCAGAATTGTTCAGAAAAATCTAAGTGGCTAAGCTGTGAACTGCTTTAGTGCTTGCTCTTGTGGCTTTGTTTTACCGTGAAATTAGCTAAACCATTGAGACAACAGAAAAGTAAGCTCAGGTATTCATCTGGAAGTGCACCAGTGGAAACAAAGAGTTTTTTTTTCTAAAATTCTAGATGCATATTATATGAGTGTATTGATATATGTGTATATATGTATATATATGTAGATATTTTTAAGAAATATAAGGCTTACATGTATAACATCAGACATTTAAGAAAAGCATCATAGCAGTATTGACATTCAAAAAATTATCTGAAATTTAGATTATTTCTGATGATAAAAGTCCTGAATCAAAAATATGGTTGATTTAAAGAAATTATAGGGAAGTTAATAGAAATAGAATCTTATTGTTTTAATTTGCAATAACAATATTTAGAAACAATGTATGCAAATGTGAGAGATATACCCATATATGTACACATAAATGCATCTGAAAGTTACTGCTTGAGATATAATTTCAAAACACTATCTTTTTTGACAGGCTCATTTCTAATGTCTCTTTTAGTGTGGAATGTTATGTTCTTTATGTTGAATGTTAATGAAAAAATTATATTTATTTCACAATGGTGCTAAAAGTATTTGTACTGATAAAATTAGTATGAAGAAAGCGGTGGAAAGTGTGCATAGTTGTACCAAGGTAAGCAAACTTCTCCAAGTCACCACCCCAGGACATGGCCCAGGGCCCACAGTTCATGTTGTTTTGGGTCTGAACAATCTCAGGTGCAGCTCTACATATTTGAGGATATAGTTACTGAGAAAGGGAAGACCACAGAATGTTCTAGCGTAAATACAGACACATTAAACTTCTACTTATAGGAGAATGTGAATTTAAAACTGATATCAGTAAATGCATAAAGGGTGGAGATGAATGCTTATAATAGGTTACAATTTTAACTTAAGATTTTCTATTATAGTAATGAGTTGCTTTCACCTTTTCAATTGACTGTTCCTCAATTCTCACATCCTGTTTCTTAACTGTTCTCATGATGCAGAGACTTGTTCTTGTTTGTTAATTATTTTCACTTATAAATGTTCTTACAATAGTAATCAGGTATTTGTTGCAAATTAAAATCTCAAACATTTTAAAATTTTCTCTTCTGGATGGTAAAACTATATTTCAAATATCAATATAAATGGCAGGGATTATTAGTAATTATTTTCTGTTTCTAACATGATATGTTACAAAATGTTTCATTATTTTCTCACATCATTAATTATTGTTCTATTCATTATATCATATAATATTAAATAGTTCTCTTAATTACTAAGTATTTTAGATATGTTTCTGTTTCATGTGATACTGCAAGATTTTTCATTATAAAGTGAATCATGTCATTTCAATATTTAGAGTTTGAGTAATTAGTAGAAAGGATACAGACACTTTGTGGTTCTGGAAATATCTACAAATATGTTTTTTAAAGGATGGTATGAGTGAAGTAGTTTTATTACAATTTTAGTAGGGATAGAACTTTAAAAAACAGCCTGACTTCAAAAGACATTCTTGTGATGCAAACTTTAACTCCACTTTGTGTCTGTACCTGCTCCTTATAAACAGTGGCCTCAGAATTTCTTATACTTTATTTTAACTCCACTGCGCACAGCATAAAATACTGCTTTCTGTTTGACCCTATGGTCAGGCAGCCTGAGGCACAGCATAGGGCTATGTTTATTGGTCCATCAGTATCACACAATGAGGCTAGAATTACAGATTTCTGGTAGCAGAAATTCATCACTATTTTTCTTTCTGTTTAAGTGTTTATTTGGAGTAATTTTAGATTAACTAAAAAGTGGCATAAATACAGAAAATACATGTAAAATAGTCAATTTCCCTTAATATGAGTACCAGACATTATTATGGGTACATTTGTCAATGTATAAAATGAACATAGATACATTATTCTAAGTAAACACCAGATTTTAATCATATTTCACTACTTTCGCTATGATTTTCCCTTTGATATTGTAGGATTCAATCCATGACAACAAATCTTATTTAAGATAACATGAGTTAAAGTTTTAAAATTCTAAACATTGTTCTCATAATCCAGGGGCACAACATAGTTTCCTTTGTCAGTTTTAATACTAACATTTGGAATTACTGTCATCAGGAAAAGAAGGGTTTGATATTATTTATATCCAACAACATTTTAATTATGCAATCGTATTGCTTTTAGACCACCCAGAAAAAGGAAGTGGAGAGATAGATTTGTGTAATTGTTAGATTAATTTAGGACCCTGTCTTCAACTTCCCACTCCATTTGTTTTTTTTTTTTTTTTTCCACAATGAAGCAATCTGAAGAAGGCAGATCTGAAGTGCGTCTGAGTCCACAATAACATATTCAGGGGCTACTAGGGAGATTCAAAAGTTTAGTGCATTAAAAAATATTATTTATTCATTTCTAATGATGACTGGCATTTTTATTTTTATAAACCATCTGATATCCAAAAGAAATTTATTGATAGACTTTCTTACTAAACCATAAGCAAAAGATAAAGGCTTACAGAATTTTAAGAATTTTAAGTAATACAATCTTTTTCATAGAATAAACAGAGGGACAGGATTTGAACCCAGGTCTACACAAATATTGTGTTGATGTTCTCACTCATTTCCTTTGTTTGTCTTTCTTGCTTTGGTCCTAGGCTATGATGAATGCTGCTGTAATTTATTCTTCATTCTGTAATCAGTGGTTTCCAACTGATTCAATGAGCTTTCAGAGTTTCTTCAATATTACTGTTTTGTTGTAAAAGGCTATGGATTCAAAGTACAGATGTTCATCAGAATAAACAGTGAATAATTGGAAATGATTATTTTAAGGTAAGTGAACAAATAAATATTAATTTTCAGAAATATATATTAGTTAATTATAAAAAATTTAAATTATTTCTTACTTAATCAGAATCATGAAACTGTTTATTATTTATTCTTACATAAAACTCATCATTCATTGAGTGTTCAATGCATCCTCATTTATAGACACACACATACACATACATACACACATACACACAAAGGAATGAATCAGAATCAATTTTCCTGTATTCTTGTATGTATACATCATAATAAACCCCACCATCATATATATCCATAACAATGGAGTTCTAATTAGTACAAGACATATTCCATGCTTGTATAATTATATCAAAATGAATTTTACTATTATGTATCAATAGAAAAAAAAACAATAAAATTATATATATATATATATATATATATATATATATATATATGTACATATATACATGGAAAAATTTATATAGACACACATGCTATATCACTGATATATCTCAGTTATATGTACAGGTGAGGACACATCATTCTATGAAAATCTGTCTGTGAATTCTGATTCAAGGGTTGAAGCAATTATCTGAATGCTTTGTGGAGGAGCTTTCTGCAAACAAGGTAGCTGGCTTCTTCAAGTGAGCACATATTAAGTGAAATTGGTAAGGGCTTGTCATCATAAGCAACATTTCCACACTTTTGAATTTGACCTCATGATTATCCTGGAAGATGAGTAGGTAAGCAATAAATGAACATCTCTGCCTGACAAGAAAGCCTCATCCATTTGAAACCTTTATCTTGAGATATACCTGATCAGACTGGGTCTTGTTGTAGTAAGCACTGGCAAATGATTAACTAAGCCTCTAGACTGTGGCTGACAGCTGACATGTTCTCTTTCTTACCTATGTGGTTGTTGCTGGTTTGCATGTTTAGGGGATGTGCCATCCACTCTCATTTCACATTATTTGTTGGGTTTCCTTCATTTAGATGCCTCATTCAAACTTCAAAAAAGAATCAGAGGCTTCAAGGTTGACAATTGAAGAGAAACTATGGAAGTTAGCCTGTACTGAAATCCTTGCTGGAAAAGATAAATCCCCATTCCTTTTCTGTTGATTCAAGGGAAAGGACTTATGTGTGGGGACAGAGGTGCTGTGTGACATGCCATATCAAGCATCTTTCGTTTGCTTTAACATAAGTTTGTTAATCTCGCATTTCCCATTACTAAAATTGGTATGATAACATCTAACAAAGACTGGCTTCTAGACAGTGAGCCCTCAGCTGTGGATGGCCTTGAATACATCACTTAGGGATCAGGAGGACACTCAGGATTATGCATGATTAACTTGTTATGTGTATTATGCAGCTGGACATTTTCCCATGAGTCCTCCTTTTATGAAAAAGAAGAAGAAGAAGAAGAAGAAGAAGAAGAAGAAGAAGAAGAAGAAGAAGAAGAAGAAGAAGAAGAAGAAGAAATTAATTTTTAAAAGACAATTCTCTTTAGATTTTTAAAGAAATATTTTTGGCGAATAAGTTATTATTTCTGAGGCCCACTGAAAGTTCATGTTTTTCTCCTTCCTTTTATAGATGAGACTGTTTCCAGATAATGGATGACCTGGTAGTAACCACTGTTGTATGACCAGGACAAGCAGAGTTGGGAAATCATAGTCCTCTTCTCTCATAGCTTGGGTTCAGTTTCAGAATGGCTATCACTAATTCACCCAGAAAGTTACTATTAAATGATTGAGATGGCACTTTTTATATAAACTACTCTTCTTTAGCAGCTGTGGATGCTTTGCTTTCCCCTTATTAAACCTCTGGCATTTTGAAGTATTCACTAATTCATCCCAGTCTTTATGTTTTTAGATCTCTGACTACTACCTTCAAACATATCTATTTTTGTGATTTAAAAGATAATACCTCAATAAGCAGCCCTCAAAATAACAAGCCCTCAACTTCTAGGTAATTATTATGTTATGAACGGATCTGCAGCAATTTTTCTCATCACATTTTCAGATTTACATGAACAATGTTGTAATTTCACCCTTTCCTTAGAAACCATGCAAAACCAAAGCTTCATAACTGAATTTGTCTTCGTGGGGCTTTCACAGAATCCTACTATTGAGAGAATAGTATTTGTTGTGTTTTTGTTGGTCTACATTGTGACTATGGCAGGCAACATGCTGACTGTAGTGACCATCTTCTGTAGCCCTGCACTGCTGGGCTCCCCCATGTACTTTTTCTTGGCCTTCCTGTCCTTGCAGGATGCAGGTTTCTCCTCTGCCATCACACCAAAAATGATCGCAGACTCCCTGTATAAGCAGAAAACCATCTCTTTTAAAGGATGCAGGATTCAACTCTTTGCTGGACACTTCTTTGGTGGGGCAGAGATGATTACACTCACGGCCATGGCCTATGACCGCTATGTGGCCATTTGCAAGCCCTTGCACTACTCTGCCATCATGAACTGGAGGCTCTGTTGCATTTTGGTGGGGGTGACCTGGACAGGGGGCTTCTTCCATTCCATAATACAGATTCTCTTTACCTTCAATTTGCCCTTTTGTGGGCCTAATGTCATCGATCATTTCATGTGTAACTTGTACCCACTATTGAAGCTGGCATGCACTGACACTCATGTCTTTAACCTTTTGGTGTTTGCCAACAGTGGATTAATCTGCATCATCAACTTCTCCTTGTTGCTTGTCTCCTATGGTATCATCTTGTTCTTCCTGAGAACACACAGTGCTGAGGGGCGGAGGAAAGCTCTGTCCACCTGTGGATCTCACATTACTGTTGTGGTTTTGTTATTTGTCCCATGCATCTTTATATATGCACGACCTTCATCTTCCTTTCCCTTTGACAAAGAAGTAGAAATAGTTTACACCATCCTAACTCCCTTGCTCAATCCTTTAGTTTATATTTTAAGAAACAAGGAAGTGAAAAATGCCATGAGAAAAATGTGGAAGAGATTGGTGGTGGTTTTTAAGGGAAAATAAATATAGTACTTTGGAGAGCAAATGAGCCCCAGGTCATCTGCTAATCCTGAGGTGTAGGCAAAAGCCAAGCTTGAGAAACATTCTGTGCCAAAGGTAAAGACGTGATCAACCTTGACTCTGTGCTCTAGTTCTAAAAGTTATCTGATGTCTCAGGACAATGGGTCTCCTTGGTACCACAGGATAATCACAGAATGTTCTTAATACCATGCAACAGTGGGATAACTGCAAAAAAAAAAAAAAAGTTTCTAGCTCCGTATCTTCTTAGTGCACAAAGAAGCCTCTGACAACTCACAAGCCTTGAACAATTGACAATGTCCCTATAGTTTAGCTTACTATTATGAGACCCTGTAAAGAATATCTGTGGAGAAAACCTGTGGAGAGGTAAACAAAGGACAGAAACACACACATGGTGTACAAGCAGGCAGACAAAGGTGGCAGACAAAAGAAGTGGCTGCTCCTCTCTGCTGCTGCATTTATTAACCCCCCAAAAGGGGCTGGGGTTCTGGCCCAGCGGTAGAGGGCTCACCTCACACATGCGAGACCCTGGGTTCGATTCTCAGCACCACATAAAATAAGTAAGTGAAATAAAGCTATTGTGTCCAACTACAACTAAAAAATAAACAAAAAAACCCAAAAGGTCACATATTACCCATTAGCATGACTACATTCTAACTCGCATTCATCTAACCGTGAGTGCCAGCTAACTGAGATAAGGTCCAGGTTAGTACAAACACAGAGCCCCCTTCCCCCTAGGACATTACTGTGCATTCTGTGTCTTTGTACAGAAACTTCCTATTTAGAAAACATGTTACAATCATGAAGTTTGACCTCAATCCCAAACACAGAACTTCTACAAGACTCCATAAAACAAATTTGCAGAGCTAGTTCTTAGGTACTGCTCCTTCATCAGAGTTCAATTTCCCACCAGGCCCCAGCTTTTAGTGAAAATATCTCTGTGTCTTCTTGGCCTCTGTGTTTTTATTCATTGCCCCTCCTTGAGAATTCCGTGTTGATGCTGTGCGGGTCAAAGCACTACACCAAACATATGATGTAAATAATAAAAAAAAAATATTTATTTAGACAAACTGTTTATCAGGTGTTTTTCTAAGAAAAGAGATTACACAATTCTAAAGAGAAGGTATTAATGTGTCAGGAGTTACAATTAATGTTTTCAATTTGAGATCAACACTTCCTTTTGAGTTGACAACTCAATACTGTTACATATAAGTGAAAGATGTTCAATTTTATACTTTCTGAAATTTATGTCAAAAAAATGAAAGGTATTTAACTCATCAGAATGGTTTTCATTTCTATAAACCTTTGGGGGGGGGGGAAACACCAAGACTGTGAAGAAAATATTAGAAATCAGGAAAAAAAACAGATTTTATGTGGAAAGATACAATTTTCTAATACTAGTATCAGTGATGCTGATGTAAAACATCAAGACTTCAGAAAATCAGAGAGAAGAACTTTGAAGTCACCTGCATCTTTTCACTTCATCTTAAAGGTCAGTCCATTAATGTCAGGTAGAATTTGGGTTATTTCTTCAATTTTGAGAGATAGAATCAGATTGATCCTATCCTGCCTTGGGGATGATCTCCTTGGGTCAATGACTACCTTAGATCAATCTGCTCTGGGAGAGTAATCAGGGCAATTCCACAGGGGGTTGGAAATGAGAGTCTCTTATTTTAGTAGAAACAGAAGAAACTACTGAGATGATCTACTACCAGCAACCCCAGGTCAAAGCTTCAGTTGTATTGAGCACACATTCCCCATCCCCCACAGAAGGAATAGAACTCAGGGGAACCAGCTATAAAAGCATATATTCTAAAGTCTAATAATGACAGTTTACTTGGTAATTTTTAGTTTCCTGACTTAGTGTACCTAAGTGCAAATAATTCTCTTGAATATTTATCAATAACAAGATCATTCAAATTTATAAAAAATATGTGGTCATTTCTATATGTTGTTCATCTCAGGCTGTCATGTGCCCTGGGGGATAAATTTATTTATAGTAAAATATTAAAGCTTCCTGTGACAAATCAACACTGATGACATGCCAGCTGAGTATTGTGCGCAAATCATCTTTTTGTTTATTTGTTTGTTTCCTCTCTTTAATCTTATCACCCCCAAAGTAGAAGGCTATATGCTATTTGTTTTCATTATTATGTAATTTCATGGACTGAAAAAGTCTATGAAAGATTGAATTGTGATCTAAAATGTCACTTTGACTATGTGGATGTTCAACAGACCAAGACTGTGACAAGACTTAGACATGTGTTTCCCTTGCTTCACATCAGCCTGTCCTTAAAGCAGGGGTACCATCTTCATGTCCTCTGCCTTCCAAGGTCCTGTTAGTTAAGTCCATTTATTCCTAAGAACTAGCTCAAGAAGAATGGATCTGCTAGATAGGCTACATTGCTTTATGAACATTGGCTGCACTGCTTTATGTGAAGCCAAGATTTGAAATGAAGCTATAAAGTATAACACTATACTGACCAGGTTGCCAACACCAATTCTTGCCTGATGCATCATACACTTAAAACTCAAACGTGTTTATAGTACTTTAATGCTTAACATTTCATTGTGGACTCTGTAGTTATGTACAAGGTGAAAATCCACTAACATTCAGTAGAGGAATAAATAACTATGAAAGGCATCTACTCAAATTTTGTCATTCCCACCAGTTTGATGAACAGAATAAATAAAAATTTTCTTAAAAATGAGTATTGCTTTAGCTCTTCATTTTGTTTTCTATGTAGATTAATTTAGGCATGATGAAGCACATTCCAATGTTTTTACCTTTTAGGCAATGTAACTGTTGTAGTAACACTAAGTTCATCTGTTATAATTTCTGTAGCTATTTAAAGAGTTTTCAGCAGCACAGTGTGTTAGTGTAAAAAGTATGAATCTAGAAAAATGTCTGGATATCTGAATGAAGAAAATACAGAACAAGATCTAATTTTAAAAATTATTCAGAAATGTCATTTTGTGAAATCATAAGTCAGATATGCTCTTGACTTCCTTGTTCAAAGTCTTGCAATCGTTCTCCATCCCAAACTATTCTGTCTTTACCATGGATCCTGGCTCACTCTTGTATTATAGATATTACCTTCTCTGATTCCCAGATTATCTTTCTTTTGTGGCTCTAACGAAAAATGTCATTATTTTCCTTTTGGATCTGACTCCTCAGCCTATTTTTTAAACATTTAAATATTTTGTTCACTATTATTTTTAAAATATGTATATTGTCTTTGAGCCATCCTGAAGGTTGCATCTATTTTTATTAGTCAAGAAATTTCATGAGCATGTTAGTAGTTTCCTCTCTGAATTGCCTATGGTTTCTTGAATTTATGTTGGCTCTGTCTTGAATTATGGTTGGACTTTGGGGCTTAGTGTGGCATTAGAGATGGTGTAGTAGAGTCATTTCATGAAGTTTAAAAACTCAGATTCTCATCCTGGACCTCTGGCTTCTCCATACAAAACTCTTATCGCCTAGTTTAGACTGACTTGACAGAGCAGGTATATTTTTAAATGTTATAATTAAAAGTTGTTAAAGCAAAAATGATGTAATGATACATTTAGAGTTTATATCATTTCTCTCTCTCTCTCTCTCACACACACACACACACACACACACACACACACTTGAACAGTGGAAGACTTTATCAGGTAAGTTACTTGCATGGTGCAATCTAGAATAGTTTTTCTGAGCAGCTCATGTTTAAACTAGTGCTGTGTCCACAGTAGAAATGGTGAGTGCAGGTGAGAGCAGAGGAAGGGTTGATGGTGGTGAGACAGGCAGTGATCAGGGAATGTATTCATGAAGGGCAGCAGTTGTTTGCCTGAAACATGGATGAGCTCAAGCTCAGGAGAACAATTGGAAAGGCAGATGGTGGTACAGGCAACTTTGAAAGTCATGATGAGCATCTCAAACAGTGCATATGTAATCGGTAGTAATTATTTGATTCTGTTTAGGGATCATATTTTAACTACCCTCTTTTACTTTTCAAGTGATAGAAAGGAAGTAAAAAGCTGGGAGTAGTTGGAGAAAGCTATGAGAATTGGTATTACCTGACTTTTCTCATTCTCTACAGAAATACAATAAGCATCTCAATAAAAGCCTGTGAGGATCTATTTGAAGGATTGTAGGGTTGGCCATCATCACACTGGAATTTACGACATCTCAGCCTGAATTTTTGTTCTGTAAGTTCCAATCATTTTCACATGAAAACCAAGAGTATCTCACTCAAAGTAAGGGAGAATTTTGTCTGCCATTAAACTGTGTGAAAGATTTTATATAATATATGAGAAACAAATACTGTGCAAATCTTCTTTCCTAAGTCTGATAATATGAAACGATCCTCTTGAACCTGAAGAAACATGTTTAGTGTTTCTAAACCCACAGATAATACTAAATATTAAGCTCTTCTGAGTCATGAATGAGAAACAAATGGGCAAGTCCAAAACCACTGAAAGATTGTACTTGAAAAGTCCTCACTCCAGTCTTTATTGTAAGGGGACCACCATGAGCCAGCTTGTATATTTTGCCCTGAGTTACTAAAAGCAGGGAACAGAAGGATGGGTGTCTTCAGTGGGTGTCTAGCATCTGAGAAGGGGTAGGATTTTCACTATGTATAATTTCTAAGTCCAATCTTAGGTAATCTAGGTAAACAGAGAGAGAGATTAAAATTCAATTAAATAATTCTGAGTGATGTTTGTTCTTTGGTGCTGACTTCACTTTCAAAAGTTGCTATCATCTTTTTATGCCTCCAAATTTTATAATTGCTTAGTGAAAAGTTTATCCAAATTTTATACCTTACTTTCATGGCCCATCTGGATAACTTGGTTCCAGTTTTTGTTACTTTATTGTTGTTGTTGTTGTTGTTTGACTATGACATTGGAATCTGGCTAACTTAAAATTTCACATTCATCTTATTGTCCCCAAAAGCATTTTCTTTCTTATTTCCATTATAGCTTGGTTTCATTTTTCTCATCCC